CAAAGAAAGGAAATATCCAGCTGCTGTGACAAGACCTTACCTGGATTTTCAGGAAAAGCTTGGCAAGGTAAGGCTTTTCAGGGAATTCCTTCCTCAGGAAGAGCATTGCTGCATTTTGCTGCTTTAATTCTTCCACTAAACAATCATTTCAAGTCATTAAACAGGCAGGGAGAGACATCCTAAACCCATATACTTGAAAAAAGGAATGAGCTGAAGTGGTTTGGAAAAGAGGTGGAGCAAGAAAGGGGGGGGGAAAAGAGCCAGAATTGAGCATTGGCAGGGACATGTCTCTGACACAAAAGAGCATTTATACTTTCCAAGTGCAGATTTTAACAGGCAAGGAGAGGGAAAGGGAGGCAAGATTTCAATCAAGGACTTCAGGATAAGGTTTCTGCTATTTAAAAAAAAAAAAAAGTGGATTGTAGGGTTGTTTTGCAGTAAAAACTACATTGGTGAAGTTTTATGCTGCAAGGCTTTGTATAGACAAAAAAAAATCTCATGTTTAAATACATTTGTTGTATTGAAATTGAAAATAAGCCAGGAGATATGAGTGTGTGTAAAATGACTGTTTATTAGTATATGCAAACAAAGGAAAAAAAAATTAAAAAAAAAAGACATTTTTTGGGCATTTTGCCCTGCCCAGGAACAACCCAAACACATGTGTGAGCTGAGACAGAATCATTCCCAGCAGCCTGGCAGGAGCAGAATTTCCCAGATTTCATCACATTCCTGCCATTAAAACTACTCTGCTTTCCAAAGGGGAATTGAAACACGTTCTGTAGTTGAGAGAAAGTTTAATAGTGGAGCTGCAACGAGGAAAACTGAAGGAGTCAGGCTGGGAGATCAGGGAACAGTTTGTATCCTGCTTTAATTAAGGAGCCACTTTGCCCTGAAGGGCTGAACCCCAAAGCACAGGGACTTCTCTGCAGGGAAATAAGGGATGAACAGCTTGGAAAAAGAAATGAGAGATGGAATATGGGAAAGATCTGAGTCAAAACTATTCCTGAGAGGAACAGAGCACGGGATGAGTCAAGGACAGAGCGCTGGGAAGTCTTAAAATCATGGAATCACAGAATGGTTTGGATTGGAAGGGACCTTAAAGGTCACCTAATTCCAACCCCCTGCCATGGGCAGGGACACCTTCCACTAGCCCAGGTTGCTTGGGCAATTCAAGGGATGGAGCAGTCACTTCCTCAAAAAAATCTTCGTCCCAAAAATCCACCCCACGATTTAACTCCTGTTTTATCACACTGAAGAGAAACTTTGGAGAGCCAAGACTTCTCAAAAATTAAAAAAATAGGGAAAGCACCTAAGGAAGAGGCAGAGAAAGGTCAGGTAGGAGCAGAGCTTGGAACTCAGGGAAGTTCAATCCACCACGGAATATTGCACAAGACCTGGAAGGACACGGTGAGTCCCTGTTTTTGGCTGAGAACTGAAGAGAAATCCTAAGGATCACACATTCCTGGATGTGATATCACTGCCAGGCTCCACAAAAAGGGTGAAGAAGTCTCCATGAGTAAGAGCTGATGCTATTTTAGGCTTTGTTTTGGCAAGTAACAAGGGCATTAAGAAGAGAGCTGGTGATAAAACATTACCCTGGATTGAGTGCACACGAGCACATTCCTATTAAATTAGGGATAAAAAGAGGTTAAGTGTTGTAAGAGAATCCAAGTTCGTTCTTTAACTATGAGAAATTAAATCAAACAGTAAAACCAAGTGGGCTGAGGAGATGAGGGATGGGAAAGCTGCCATCCAAGTCTTTCTCTCAGGTCAAAGATGCAAAGCTATTTGAAAGCTGCGTCCTCAGAACTAACCTTAAAAAAGGACATTAGGATCAATTAAAGAGTCTGTGTGTTATGGACAGGAAAGGATTGATTAGCAATGGCTTTAAAGCCAGAAAGGGGGCAGGGAGACAAAATAAGAAGTGCCAGAAGTCAAGCTGTGCCAGAGCTCAGCAAATGAAAACAAAAGGGAAAGAGATGTTCCAGGTATCCAAGCAAAGGAGACCAGGAGGGAAAGGGAAGAGATCCTGTAAGGGGAGCTTGATAAAACCAAGCTTAACATGGAATTAAGAGTGGAATAAGGACATGAACATGGGTGGAAGGCAGAGTGTGTCATGGGGGTGAGGTTGTAAGAGACACAACCACGGTGGAGACAGAACTCCAATGTTTTGATGCGTTCTAATCCAGGGAAAGCAGACAGCACCCATCCCATCTCCAAAACAAATGGCACAAGGAATAATATCCTCTCTGGAATGAGGCTGTTAAAGCATCCAGAGCATGGATCTCTGGAACATTGAAAACTCATATTTAGAGGAGGAGAGAGAATCTAAATATTCATCCTCCCAAGACCTCAAGTGTACACAAAGTTCCTCAAGGAGAATGTGGAATAAAAGAACTTAATGAGCAAATGAAAAACTGGAATGAGGTGCAAGCAAAGCACTGGAGGTGCCAACAGTCCCCTGTGCTATTCCAGTCCACTATTTCCTGTCTGGAAGAATTATTTATTGTACAGACCTAAGATTTACAGCTGAGCTAATCCCATCATTAGGGATATCAATACACCGGGAATTCCTCATTATGGATATCAATACACTGGGAATTCTTCATTATGGATATCAATACACTGGGAATTCTTCATTATTGATATCAATACACTGGGAATTCTTCATTATGGATATCAATATGCTGGGAATTCATCATTATGGATATCAACACATTGGGAATTCTTCATTATTGATATCAATACACTGGGAACTCTTCATTATGGGTATCAATATACTGGGAAGTCCTGCATGACAGGAAGGTGGTGAAGATCATTTCAGGAATCAGAGTGGTTTAAAGAGGACAGAAGTTAGTTCAAGGATGGCATTTGGACACTGACTGGTACATTCACATCCTCAGAGAGTCCAGGAGGCCCCGGAGCTGCTGCCAGGGCTGGAGCCCCTCTGCTCTGGAGCCAGGCTGGGAGAGCTGGGGGGGTTCCCCTGGAGAAGAGAAGGCTGCAGGGAGAGCTGAGAGCCCCTGGCAGGGCCTGAAGGGGCTCCAGGAGAGCTGGAGAGGGACTGGGGACAAGGGATAGAGGGACAGGACAAGGGGGAACGGCTTCAAACTGGAAAACTGAAGATTTAAATGGGATATTGGGAAGGAATTCCTGGCTGTGAGGGTGGGGAGGCCCTGTCCCAGGTTGGGCAGAGAAGCTGTGGCTGCCCCTGGATCCCTGGAAGTGTCCAAGGCCAGACTGGCCTTGATCAGATCCTCATCCCCATGACCAAAACTGTACAAGTGAGACAAACACCTGGAAGTACAGAGGGAAAACAAAGGAGGCAACTGAACCTGAATAACCTGTTCCACAGGAAAAGACCAGGAGGGTTTGTCCTGCTTAGGCCAACAAATAAACACGGAAGGGTACCAGAGGATATGACCTGTCCAAATTCATCCAGGGAAAGCAGGAGTTTGAGCTGCCAAAGGAGGAGGAGGAGGGGACATTTAAGCTCAATGACAACACTGGCACAGGAAAAGCCAGAAATTCCCTGTCAGTCCAGGTGGATGGAGACTGGAGTAAACTCAGGAGAGCTTCAGGGAGAGGACACAGCACTGCTCTGAAACATCTACAAAGTATTAACATAGTTCTGCAGCAAGAAATAGCAAAGTAATAAATCAGGATAAGATTCAGTCCAGCACTGATTATGGAAAATCAACTATTAGTCAAAATAACCCAGAAGTTAAATAAAATATGATTTTTTTCTGATGTCTGTGATTGTGAATTTGATAAAAGAGAAGCTCAAATACTTAAATAAACCACTACACAAGTGCCAACCTTTATACACAGATGTTACTTCCACTACTACAAGAGTATTTCAATGAAAATGAGGTTTAGTACTTGCTGCCTGAGTATCCAATGACACCAAGGTTTGATCCTGCAGCTCTTGCCAACTCCTCCACATCTAAAAATCAGGACTAAATAAACTAAATAAACTAAGAGTTCAACAATTTGTAAAGTCAAAACCCTCCAGTTGGCAAATTATTATCAAAACTGTAAAAGGCATTAAAAAGAAGCAAAAAGCAGTCCAAAGTGAGCCTATGCAATCCACAGCCTGCCATCAACAATACACAGTTTCCTGAACACTTAAAACCCTCTGTCTTTACCAGAAGGTGATGCAGAAGTTTCACAGGTACTCCTAATGTATTTTTAAAAATTAAGGGAATAACTTGAAAAATGTCATTACAGCTCAAGGAGGGTTCTTTTTCCAGGTGGATCTCACACCCTTGTTCAATGTTATCAGGGAGTGGGAGTTTGTGGGACTGAATGTCAGGAACACCAAGAACTTCAAGGTGAAGTCTCAGCTTTCACATCATAATGGGCTGGACAAGGGTGAAGATGGAAGAATTTCAGTTCCCAAACTTCTTAAATAAGAAGTCAGATATGCCAGGCCTTATTTGAGATCTGTGGATTCCCCATCCCTGGAGGTGTTCCAAGTTGAACGGGGCTTGGAGCAACCTGGGATGGTGGAAGGTGTCCCTGCCCATGGCAGGGGGTGGGACTGGATGTTCTTTAAGGTCCCTTCCAACCCAAACCATTCCATGATCTCTGTCCCAGACCTGGAAGGATTTCTGTCCTTCAGAGAAGCCCCACATCACTCTGAGCACACAGGGAGCTGATATTTGCTTTTCCTCTGCCTCCACATTCCAGGTTTGGTTTTTAACTTCATCCCTCTCTCTATTCAACATCAATAACTCCACATTCAGAGTCAGACACCTTGTTAAACCCCTTAATAACTGAGCATCTCACTTTATTTCCCAACACATTTTCAGACCCACTGGGCTGAGGCAGCACCAGGAGATTCCTCACACCTTTTCCCTCTTATCCAGAACATCCAGCTCCGTCTGCTGTGGGATTACACCAAGGCTGGTGCAGCTTGGACAACTCAAAGCACAGCAAAGTCTCACAAAAAAAAAAAAGCACTTTTAAAGAATTCCACATAAATGCCCAGCTCTTACCTGGATTTTTATGGGCCAGGTGAAGTTGCTGACGTAAACAAAGAAGGTGATGTTGGGGTTGTTGCGGAAATCAAACTTCTCGTTGGAGAAACTGTCCTTGTACTCTTTTATATTGGTTCTGGAAACAACTGGAATTTCCTCCCCAGCCTGTGTGCCAGCTGGTTTAGGAAGGAGCAAGAAAAAAAAGTGTTGATGTGTGTTTAAAATAATGAACAAGAGGGCAAATCGGTCTGAATTCTAACGGTAAAAAATTAACTATTCCTTCAGAAATTGTTCTTTTTAGCTGCACTGCAATATCAAAATCACTGTGTGCCAAAATGCTGCATTATTAAAAATCAAATTTGTACCTTCTTAGGTTTCCAAAATGCACTACTAACATGGAAAACATAAGTTTTTTTAAACATTTCACTTCCTCCTTTAGGCCCAGCATTTAAGATTTATATATCAAGGACAGAAGTTAAAAAAAAAAATGTTTTCCCAATTGGGAAAATTGAAATAAGCTGCCAAGGAACTCAGATCAGGCTCATTTTACCTGCAAAACTTGTGGACCAAGTGATGTTGAGGTTGAAGTTTTTGGATGCATTGATGAACATGTCCAGGTCTCTGTTTTGCTGCGTGAAGGAAACAAAAAAAGAAATTCCCATTTTTAGGATAAGCAGTTTGACTGCATAGTTTCCTAACAAATCTTTGCTACAAAAAAAATTATCTTGGAATTTGTTGTTTACCTGAAGAAAATACATCAAGCAAAAAAACTAAACACTGTATTTGTTGAAAGGAGTATTCTCCTCCCCAGGGAAAAAATAATAAGGAATAAAACAAGTGCAAAGAATGTGACAGGAAGAATTGAAACACAAGATTTGGGGTGAAAACAAGCAAAACACCTTAGCTTTGGAGCCAGGCTGGGAGAGCTGGGGGGGTTCCCCTGGAGAAGAGAAGGCTCCAGGGAGAGCTGAGAGCCCCTTGCAGGGCCTGAAGGGGCTCCAGGAGAGCTGGAGAGGGACTGGGGACAAGGCATGGAGGGACAGGACACAGGGAATGGCTTCCCACTGCCAGAGGGCAGGGATAGATGGGATACTGGGAAGGAATTCCTATCTGTGAGGGTGGGGAGGCCCTGTCCCAAGTTGGGCAGAGAAGCTGTGGCTGCCCCTGGATCCCTGGAAGTGTCCAAGGCCAGGTTGGAGCAACCTGGGCTAGTGGAAGGTGTCTCTGCCCATGGGAACAAGGTGGCCTTTAAAGTCCTTTCCAACTTAAACCATCCCATGATTCTGTAATTCTATAAAACTGGAGCAGCTCAGAAGTCGTTCAAACAACTGGAAAGAAGGAACTGTGGATCCTTATGAAATTTTTCCCACAAAAATTTGGGACTGCACAGCCAAGGCCAGGCCATAAAGCTCCGGTTGCTCCGTGGAGGTTGGAAACACCTTCCACATGACACCGGCCTACACCTGGAGACCCCCAGAGCAGGGACAATCCACAGCCTCCATGGCCAAGAGGAGACAAGAGGGACACCCAAGGGATGAAGCTGAAAGGGAAAAGTGGAAAATGCACCTCTTCAGGCGTGGCCACAAAGTTGATCGCGGTGTAGTAACGATCGTCCTCCTGGGACAGGCTGAAGGTGAACTGATAGTCGATGAGGAGAGTGTCTGTAGGGAACACAGGGACACGGTTATCCCACCTCCTGGAATAAAACAACTCCTGCAGAGCAAGGCATGATGTCACTGAAAGGGATTTTTGGACAACTAGGAGTCGCCACGTTGTCAGGAACGACCCCCAGTCTGTGTATGATGCCACACAAGGGATAAAAAACCCTGGAGGGGGAATGAGGTGGCTTGGATTTAGACCAATAGCTGGTCTAAATGGAAGTTCATACCTAAATATTGTGAAAACAGACCTAGACACTGTAAAATACCAATGTTCATACCTAAACATTGTAAAAAATGTGCCAAGACAGTGACTTTTCCAGCCTGCAACACCTCCATGATCTAAAGGAATAGCAGGAAAATTAAAGGGATGTGCAATTCCCACTTGGCAGGGGACAAAGTTTTCCCCCGTGACAAGTTTCTGTGCATCAGTGGACTTTAGTGGGAGGATTTTTACAGAGCAGCTGGTTGTTGATGGATTCAGCTCCCATCTTGCCTGGAACACACCTCACCCAGGCATTCCAGGAGCAGTTTTTGGTCTGCCTGCATGTCCTTCCAAGCTCATGTTTGCTTGGGCTGGGGGATAATCGACAGCCAGTTTTGGGGATGCATCCACCAGTCTCAGCATCCTTATTTATACTGATATTTATTAGGACTTGAACACCACATTCTGACTTGTCCATATTCCTGAAGCTGTGCAGGAACATTCCAAGCAATGAGGAACAGGAAATTATACACCAGGTGCTGTTTTTCTCTCACTGCCTCCTGGAGATCCCTTGTGGATAGAGAAAGCCAGACAACCTTATGTCTATCCACAGAGGAGCACGAGGAAATCTTCAAGGAATGAGAGCAAGCCAGGCTGGATCTGTACAGCATGAGATTCTTCCGTAAAAGTTGGAATATCCTGCCTTTTCCCTGTTTTTTGTCCATTTTACCAACCCTGCAACGAATCTGGTCATCCTTGCACGGAGATTGTAATGAGGAGCCACCAATGCCCTCGTTTGGCCACACGAGCAGAACCCAAATTAGCCAAAAACCCCCAGGTTGGATCGTTTCTGTGCTGCCCAAACCCACTGTTGGGGACTTTATGGAATTCAGGATTCCATCCTCCAGCCCTGCCAGGCTGCTCATTGCTAATATTTGCAAACACAACCTGGAGAGTTTCCACCAAGTAAGTCGAGTCTTGGCAAAGGATCTTGTGGAATTGCACGGGAATCCAACTGTTCAATTCCGAGGAAACGTGGCAGTTTTGAAGCCCGTTTTAACAAGAATTTAAAATAAAGAGCATTTTGCACTTATAAAAATTCTTTGGGTTTTTATCTATTTGAGAGTGTTCTCCAAAAGACCAGATTTCATCTCAATCACATGAGAAACATCCAAAACTTCATTCAAACGATCCAATCATCACACAGACCTTATCAAGAAAAGCATTTTCGTTCTCTTTAAACAATACTTTTCAGAAAAATTAAGCTTTTTCGAGCTGTTTTTCAGTCCTTCCCTTAATCCCCCATATTTTAAACACAGGCTAAAACAACTGAAACAAAGTATTTTAAACTTGAAGCACATTTTTTATCTGCAAACACAATCCCAGGGGTACTCACAGTAACAGGTTCCTTTGAGAGGATTTCCCTGATATCTGTTTTCGACTTCACACCTAAAAAAGAAAACACATTTTTTAATAAATGGTTTGGGGGGTTTTTTTGTAGTTTTATTTATTCCCAGCCACTAAAATATCAGAAAACACAACCTGTGCTGATAACAGCAATGATTAAAGATCAATGTCTGAGCCGTGTTGGGCTCGAGGAAGAAATTCTCTGCGAGTCGAACTCGTACGGAATAAAAAATGAAACATAAAATTCTGGATATCAACCTTTGCATCCACTTGGAAGGTATTTATTAGCTCTTCACAAAGCATGGAACTGGATTAGCTCAGTCAAAAACTAATTTCCATTTACATTTATGGCTATTCCAGGATCTCTCCGACGAACGTTCGCTCGCGCGAGCGGCGCTTCCAAAATAAACCTGGCAATGAAATCCTCTGGAATTAAATTATTTCCACTAACATTGCACTAAAAGCATTTCTGTTTCGTTACAGAGAAACCTCCAGCAAATTTGTTGCTCTAAAACCGCTCCATTAAACCGCCTGAATGTCAAAGGCTCATTTCAGGGATATTTACGCTCGCCCAGCCCAGGGAGCACAGGCAGTAAAATCCCCCAATTAAAGAGGAACTACTGAGGGAGAAAAAAACGTGGAGCCAGGCCAGAGGAGGCCCCGGAGATGCTGCCAGGGCTGGAGCCCCTCTGCTCTGGAGCCAGGCTGGGAGAGCTGGGGGGGTTCCCCTGGAGAAGAGAAGGCTGCAGGGAGAGCTGAGAGCCCCTTTTAGGGCCTGAAGGGGCTCCAGGAGAGCTGGAGAGGGACTGGGGACAAGGCATGGAGGGACAGGACACAGGGAATGGCTTCCCATGGACAGAGGAGAGGGTTAGGATTGTTGGCTGTGAGGGTGGGGAGGTCCTGGCCCAGGTTGGTCAGAGAAGTTGTGGCTGCCCCTGGATCCCTGGAAGTGTCCAAGGCCAGGTTGGAGCAACTTGGGCTAGTGGAAGGTGTCCCTGCTCATGGAACGACCCATCTCATGGAATGAGATGATCTTTAAGGTCCCTTCCAACCCAAACCATGATGTGATTCCATGTATAGTTTGGGGGGTGGGCACTTCACTTTTCCATCCCTTCCGTGTAACATTCCCAGCTGAAACGTACTTAAAAACGGAATTCTCCCGGATTCTTCCAGACATCCCCCAGGGGAAGCCCAGCTGGCTGCACCCTCAGAGCAGCCACTGAACCATCAGCAGGGAGAGGTGAGCAGAGACACCAGGAACAGCACCAGGAAGAAACAGGGGATTCCATGCTGGGAAAAGGGGGGAATTCCATGGTGGGAGAAGGGGATTCCATGGTAGGACAGGGGGGTGACTTGGGGGATAAGAGGGTTCCATGGGGGGACAAAAGGGGGTTCCATGGCGGGACAGGAGGGTTCCATGGTGGGATAAGATTGTTCCATAGTGGGACAGGAAGGTTCCATGGTGGGACAAGGGGGGGATTCCATCCTGGGACGGGGGGGGTTCCATTGTGGGACAGGAGGGTTCCATGGTGGGACAAGATGGTTCCATGGTGAGACAGGGGAGGTTCCACAGTGGGACAGGAGGGGTCCATAGTGGGACAGAAAGGGTTCCATGGTGGGACAAGGAGGTTCCACGCCGGGACAGGGGGGTTCCTTGGTAGGACAAGGTGGTTCCATGGTGGGACAAGGGGGAGGTTCCTTGGTGGGACAAGATTGTTTTATGGTGGGACAAGGGGTGTTCCATGGTGGGACAGAAAGGGTTCTATGGTGGGACAGGGAGGGGTCCACAGTGGGACAGGAGGGTTCCATGGTGGGACAGGAGGATTCCATGGTGGGACAGGAGGGTTTCCATGGTGGGACAGGAGGGGTTCCATGGTGGGACAAGATGGTTCCATGGTGGGACAAGAGGGATGTTTCTTGGTGGGACAAGGAAAGTTCCATGGTGGGACAGGGGGGGTTCCATTGTGGGACAAGGCAGTTCCCTGGTGGGACAGGGAGGTTCCATGGTGGGACCAGCATGACTTTCTGATTTCAAACAACAAAGAAACAAACTCACAGCTGACACTCATCTCCTTTTATCCCCTTGGTGGTGCAGAAGCACTTGCCGGTGTTGGTGTTGCAGACGGACGCGTGGCCGTTGCACTTGCAGGCTGTGGAGCAGAGGGGGGAGAAGACACTGAGCCAGGCAAGAGGAACAAACTCGACAGCAATTAAGTCCTTCAGCTGCCAAACTGAGCTACACCAACAATTAACGTGCAGATGAAAACCCATTTGGTGCTCTTTGCTTCCCTTTTGTGCAGCCAAAAATAGAACCCTGCGTCAAAACACGGCGAGAGCGGCCCCAGGACTGATGTTTGTAGGAAATCATCACCAGATTGAGATTTTGAGCCTCAAAAATTTATTTAACTTCCTCTCCCGTCGACACACAGCAGCAGGGATGCCATGACTGGCAAGGGGAACGATGTTTGGAATAGTTTTGGGGCTTGCTAAGACACCTCAGCCAAAATCAGAACTCTTGAGAGAAGAGTTTGGAAATTAAAACAAAGCTGGTGGGGCTTTTAGAGCCTTTTCTAGAAATAAATAAATAGGAAAAATAATGTCTCAACAGTCCTATTGAGAAAATAACGTCCTTATCAACAGTGTCAGCAGAAAACATCTGGTGCCAAGAAGACGATGTCCACGTTGGAATTTGGGGCACATTCCCCAATATATTTTAGAATAACTTCGAGACGAATGTCAGGGGGTTGTGGTTGAAAAAAATCAGCATAGTCCTGGACTTCCCTCAGGTTTGGGGCCTGCCCAAAATAGCCCAGCTCATATAGAGTTAGACCTGAGTTTGCTGGAGATCCAACCCAAGGTCCCACGGGGGGGACACACGAGAGATTTGCTTCCCAAAAACGCTCCTGGTTCAAACTAAACGCTCATGTTGACACACTTTGACACCTTTATTCATAAAGGTGGAGAGGAGGAACATGCAAAAAAATAAAAACACCAAAAAAACAACCCAAAACCAAATCAACAAATTGGAACAAAACCAACACAACCAGTTGTCTCGGATGTCATGTGGAGAAGAGCGGACAGAACAACTTTTCATCCTTTTAAGGAATTGTTCTCCCAGTGACGGTGCATCCACCTGGAGCTGTGCACGGGAGAGGATACAAAACAAGAAAGAAGAAAGTGCACAAAGAGAAAATCCCTTGTTTATGACCCCTGAGCTGGCTGGGAACAGGATGCTTTAAGGTCTAGAGCCTCCTCGTTAAGAGACATAATCCTTCTCATTAATGTGCCACTCAAGGTACCAGCAGATTCTTAGACATCAAGTCCCCATCCTGAATATTCCTGCCAGCTTTTGACCTTTTTTTAGGGCTCCTTTTGATGTCCCCTTTCTTTCTGTTGGCACATAATGGAAGAATATTGTATCAGGGACACTTAATTGTGCCTCTCAGAGGTGGGTGAGTGGTTTCCTAGCAGCAACACGGAGCAGAATAGGAAGAAGCATAAAGGCTTATTGTGGGAACAAGGAGCCTGAATGAAAATTCGACAAAATAATTGTCTTCTGTGAAGGGAAACACACTTTTCATTAGTGGCACTTAAAGAAAAATAAGACTCAGTACTGCTGAGAATGTCTTGTACTTCCTTCCTCCTGCTTTGCACGAGGGAAGCAAAGCGACGTCAGATCAATATTCGACACGAACACACATAAAATTCCTCCTAATTTTTAAGTCCCATGCTGTTTTAGAGGCAGATTGCAGCATCTTGAGCATTAACATTAATGTCTCCCCCTTCCCTGCTCTTCAGCCTCCTGCTTATCAAGAAGCCTGAACACTCAAATATCTCTATTTACAACAAGAGAATCTATTTCTTTATCCGTTTTCCTCCAAGCCTACAACTAGAGATTATTTACTGAAGGACTGGAATCTGCACAAAGAAACATCTTCGAGTGGTTTTTCAAACAATTATGAACCTGGGAAACAAACTGTGGATAAAATGTACTGGATGTCCTCACTGGAGTCTCCAAATGACCACTTCCCTCCAGAGTCAGAGATGCCAGAGCAGAAAAGCCAAAATTTTCTGGAAATGTTTTTTTGCCTGTGAATCCTGGTAAGAGTTTGATGCTGAACCACCCCACAGTGACTCTCCTTCCACCTCCTCCACAAACCACAGGTCTCACGGTAATTCAGAGATGGACACAGGGATCTTTACTCCTCTTCCTGCATTTCTGACGGCCCAGTTTCCCCATGGAAACACCATCACCCACCAGCCCAAGGCCATTTTTCCATTCCACATGCTCTACCTGCCCTCCAAGGCCTGGGGGAGCCCTGGGAAGGGGGGGACAGGCAGGACACAGCACCAGCAGCTCCTGGGCCACCAGCAAAGGCTCCATGGAAGTGTTGGGAAGCGCTGCCGCAGCCACAATCTGATCCCAGGCATAATAGAGCCTTCCCTTGGCTTGCAAATAACGTCCTTATCTCCCACCAGCATATTTTCACGGGGAACTTTAATCAGGGAATTCAAAAAAACCTCCTGAATGCAGAGAAAGCACCTTGCAGCTATTTTTACATTTGATGTGCTGCGTTTCCTGCCCTTCCTGATTAACACTCCTCGACTTGGACACCTCCTAAAAGCCACCTCTGAGCAGTGATTTACCTGCCATTTAGGTATTACCTGCCCAGCTCTGCCAACACCAGAGCCTGGCACGGGATGCAAACAGTCCTTTCAGGGAAATAACTGCAGCTTGTCAACATTTTTCCAACACAAAGGGATATAACCTTGTGTTGGGATTTTTACAGGGGTACCTAGTGATGGAACAAGGGGTGATGGCTTTAAATTACAAGAGGGCAGGGTTAGATGGGATATTGGGAAGGAATTCCTGGCTGGGAGGGTGGGCAGGCCCTGGCACAGGTTGGGCAGAGAAGCTGTGGCTGCCCCTGGATCCCTGGAAGTGTCCCAGGACCAACATGGGATAGCGGAAAGTGTTCCTGCCCGTGGCAGGGGGTGGAACTGGATGGGCTTTAAGATCCCTTCCAACTCCTTCCATGATCCTATGGATCACGATCCTAAGGATCCATGATGCCTCACACTATCAGTGAGTGTGGAAACACAGGGATATTTGTGTGTCAGGCTGGAATGTACAACAACCATCTCCAGCACGGATGGGACCGCGGGCTCTGAATGCAGAGCAGCACAAAACATGGCTCACAAATGCACAAAAAGAGTGGAATCAGCACATTATTAATGGGAAAGGAAGGAGGGACGTGGCTCAGGGGAGGGGGGGAAGCAGGAGCTGGCTCTGCTGCCCGTCAGGCAACCCTTATCTGAACAATTCCCCTCTGGAAAGCTTTCCACTGAGCAGAAATGACTGATGGGCAGGAGTCACCCTGGCTGCATCAGACAGGATGATTTTGCTCTCCTTGGCCTTTCCCAGCCTCCTGCTTCCCTCTCCCTTCTGCCTTCCCCGTAAATAGCATTAAATCACAGCAAATTAAAACCCCGGGCCCAGAGCACGGGAGAGCAAAGCACTTGTGCCATGAGCTGCTGCTCCATCAGATAAGGACTGAAAGCTGCTCCACAGTCCCTCAACACGTTTTCTAATTTGTTTTTTCGGGCATCTGGATGATTTCAGTCTGTCATTCATTACCTCAACAACAAACTGTTTTGGGACAATCCTCGCGAGGGAGAGTCCAAAGGAACTCGCTCCCCATCTCCACACGCACGGAAAAGCAACACCTTCCAGCAGGCACGTTGTGATCCAGTGATTAAACTGAAAGCTCAGGGGCAGGATTTTGTATTTTCTCAGGCAACTCGGCCTCAATTTATTCATTCCTGCACTTCAAATTATCTCCACCCGAAATGAGTTTACGAGTATCAGCGGTGTTTAATCTGCCAGATAATGTCATGAAATCAAGTGTCAGAAACACCTTCTCCTATGTACCTGTGCTGTAAAACCCTTTTCTCTAAGGAAGGCAGACATATCCCTGTATTATTTTCCCCCCTTGCTTCCAGGAATCTGCCCACTGGGAAGGTTTTTGTAGCCCCAAACATCACCACCTCGCTCTTGTTTGAGGAAATAGGATGTTCATGCTCCACCTACACACTCCCACCTTCATCCAAAAGGTCGGGGCTACTCCCAGTAAACACATTAAATGAATGTCCAAGGATTTTCTACTGGATTGCCTCCACACTTGGAAGGAGAAACTCAAAAGTCTTCAATGTCCACTCTTTAATCACCTTCACCTCCTTCTTCCAGGATGGCTGCAAACCACCCACACTCATTTCATGGCAGCACTGACACTGCTCTGCCACCAGCACTGGGATGTCTGTTCTACCTTTCCAGCCCTCCTGTATCTGATTGTCTCACTCCACCCAGTGATATTCCATTAGGAGAATCCATGGGGATGGTGCTGTTTAACTCTGCTGGTGGCAGGGACACAGTGGGATTGAGGCACCTCAGCAAGTTTGCTGGTGACCCCGAGATGTGTGGTGTGGTCACGGGCTGCAGGGAGGGGATGGGACATTCAGGGGGAGCTTGACAGGCTGGAGAGGTGGGAATGTGGGAAACTCATGACGTTCAACAAGGACAAGTGCAGGTCCTGTACCTGGGTCAGGGCAATCCCAGCACAAACACAGACTGGGAGAATGGATGGAGAGCAGCCCTGGGAAAAGGATTTGGGGGTGTTGGTGGGTGAGAGGCTGGAGATGCCTCAGCCCAGACCCCTCCATGCCCTGGGCTGATCCCCCAGCGTGGGCAGCAGGGCAGGGGGGGATTCTGCCCCTCTGCCCCTGTCTCA